TGGGGAGGCAGCGTGGGGGGAACAGGGGATTCAGGACAAGGGAACAGGGCGGGAGGGGATGGGAGGTTGGGAATGGGGATTAGGGCCCTGCTCCCCCTTGTTTCCGTAATTAAAACATGAATCAATCAACGGCGCCAACGGGCAGAGCGGGGCGAGCCGGGTTCCCAGGATGTCATTGAGGGCATGAAAGGCCCGAGCCGACGTTCCGGAGCAATCGGCGGCAACAACAAAGTCCGGCTTTTCCTTGTTTTTATGGGGAACGTCCCCATCTGCATGGGGAGCGCCTGGGAAAAGAAAACAGCGTCCGGATCCCGGGCGAGTTTCCACGCGCGGTGCCGGCGTCCGGCCACGGGGAGGAGGAGGGTTTTTCCAAGGGCTCCTCGGGCTCTCCGTGCGTTACCGCCGGGAGGACATTGTCCCCTTGGGAATCTTTAGAGTTAATGAAACAGCAGCTTAATGGCAGGAAGGGGAAGGGAAGGACACGGCTGCGGAGCAGGTGCCCGAGCGGAGCCCGTGAGCAAATTCCTGTTGACTTTGGCACGGAGAAGAGCCGGGAGCCGAGGCCAGGAGCGGGGCTGATCCCCCTCCTTGCAGGCGCCCTTCAAAATCCATGGGATTTGGGAGCGAGATGAGGCAGGGGGGAATGATCCCACTTAGCTGAGGTGCTGGGTTGGAGCTGAGGCGGAATTTTGCAATTCCGTGGATTATTGGGAGCCGTTCGGCTCGCCGCTCCCGTCCCCCCTCCCAGGGAACATCCATGGGCTCCAAATGACGCCGGGGCCGGCCCGGACGGGAAGGCAAACAAGGAAGCGCAGGTGTCGGCTGCGCAATCGGGAAGTCGTTAGGGAAGCGCTGGCCGTGCCTGGGGACACGGATCCGACCCCGCGCGCGCTTCCAAGCTCGTCCCGCCGCGCTCCGGAGTCCTCCCTTGACCCCAGAGGCCTTCCCGGGAACCTGCCTTTCCTACCCTTCCTTCTCTCTCCTTCTGCACCAAAATCCTCCTTTTTTTCCTCATTTATGTGCTGCTAGTTACCTCCTTGACTCCTTAAAGTTGGTCAAAGTGGGATCACAAAAACACCAAATCCTCCCTTAAAAGAAAACTCCCTGCATTCCTTAAAATGAACGTGCGATTCCAAGACGTGCCCCATGCAAAACCCTGGAGGGGAAAAGCTGGATTTTCCACGTCAACCAAGGTCAGAAAGGCGAGAGCAGGAAGCTTAAAGGAGGAAAACACAAGATGAGGGGGATAAAAAGATGAGGGAGGTGTTGAGACCCGCAGCCTCCTGCCGTAAATCAAGCACAAAAGTGGAGTCGGGAGCAAAATATCCCAGTGAAACGGAGAAAGGAGGGAAGGAGAGGGCAAGGGAGAGCACCCGGGGCGGCGGGAGGAAGAGGATGCGTCTGGGTTTGTTATGGCAAAAACGAGCTGTCACCAGCCACGCACTCGCCTGCGTCACGTTTATTTAAGTCCTGGTTTATTTGCCCTTTCCTTCCCTTAACCCCCCTGCTAGGTAGAAAACAAATTGATGCATTCCCAGGAAAACGGGTTCGTCCTGGAGCGGCTCCGCTCCGGAGCGAGGTCGTCCCCGGCACGCGCGGCTGGAGCTCCGGCTGCTGGGGCTCCCTCCTTGGGAATGTTTTCGGAATGGAATAGGGATATCAGTAAATAAGATGAAGCCGCCAATGCCAACTCCTAACGTGGCTCAACGCGGGGCATCCTGGTGATGCTTTCCCAATGAAAAGCATGAATCCAGCTGCCACGGAAAGGAATTACAAGCTGTGCAAGCAAATGCAGCTGTCTGGAATGCAGCTCTTCCCTGTGCTAGCAGTTTTGGCCTAATTTTGGCCTTTCTTGTACCAATTCTGTCCCTCGCGAAGCTAGCAGCATGCTCATTCCCGTTGGTTTTGTGATCCTAACTCTTCCCGTCATGTTTCTGCGTATTTGAGTGGGGAACTACGGATCTGACTCACCCATCACACCGGTTTCCTACCGAAAGGACCCCGTTAACTCTGCCTTGTTATCCCTAATTCATCCTGGTGTGAGAAAGGAGGAAGGTCAGACTCTGGATCTCATTACGAACCGTTCTTACAACTTCCATTTCATAACTGAAATCCACTTTTATCCAGGTGGGATGCACTTCCTGTCCAATCTTGGATCCTCATAAATCTTGATAGATGCCGCTGAGAAACTCCAAAACGAGAGAGGTGCCAGTAGCTAGAAGAGATTTGGAGAGACCAATTTAACTATATTTGGTACTGGGACCCCTCAGCCCCCACTCATATAGCATTAATTAAGACTTCTATTATTATTATTAAAAATGAAAGACCTCCTTTCAGTAAAACTCAGATATTTGCTAGCAATCTACAACAAGTTTCCAGATATTCTATCCATTTTTTTTTGTTTCTTTTCACAAACACATTGTGAAATGACTGTTAGGATGAGTCCTTAGGCTCTGTTTCTGCTGGTGGTTTGGGCTGTGAGCAGCTGTAAGTACAATTGTTATTAATAAGTTTGTTATTAATAAGTGATGGTTGAAAAAATCTTGTATAATTTGAGAATAAAGATCAGGAGTTGGGATAGTGGGGCTCTACGCCTGGAAATACTGAAGGATCCTTGGACAAATCACCACCTCTCTGTGTCTCAGTGTCCTCATCTTTAGAACAGGGATAACACTCATCTATTTCTTTGTGTTTCGAGTACTTACTATTTGTAAAATAGTGCCAGGGTACAAAGGAGTATTCAAATGCTATACAAAAGTCACTATTATCAGGCCTTTTAAGAGAAGAGTATTTTAAGCTCATATGCACTGCCTTAAGCAGGTAGAAGTTTAGGACGTTTAAACATCACTTTAAATGCAGGCAAATCCTAGGTACGTGCTCTTCAGCAGTCCTTAGTTTGTCACATTAGGAGAATATTTCCCATTTCTATTTTTTCTCCTTTTAAAGTTATTCAATGCATTTTAATTGTGGAAGGTGTTTTAACAAATGTTACCATCCAAGGCCCATGAGCATTCAGCATTCAGCTGCTGTCTTAAGTTGCCACAATGTTATAAAGCCCTCGCATCGCTGCTGATGGCTGTGATATTTATATGGGAATCAGTGTGTTTAGCCCATGAAGTTCACAAATGGAGTGGGCAGACGTTGGTCCTTCTCTTTTTCCAACTATTAATGTAATGTTCGACCCTAGGGAGGTCTCGTAACTAACCCCAGGTCCCCAAGGATCCATCTCCGTGGCCCAATGTTGGGAGCTTAAGTGATTCTGCCAGTTACTTTATCACATCTCTGTTTATTTTACTTTCTCTGTCAGAAAAAAACAAAACAAACAAACAAAAAAAAAAAAAGTAAAAGAAGGACCTTAATATTACACTTCGGTGCTCAGGTTGGACATTGTAGTTTTTATTTCTTTGCTTATCAGCTGCAGCGTTTCAAGCTCCATGGGGCAGTAGCATTTTTGCTCAAGGACTTAATTCATGAGATGAAACTATTTAATAATATATATATTTTTTATTTTACCAGTCCCCCAAATGTCCTGAGATCTTACGTAACTCACTCCAAACCTAATTTAAGCAAAACAGTAACATTTCAGTGACCCCTGCAGTGGAGGGGAGCCCCTTTCTGAGTCATAAAAGTGCTATTTTCAGCTCGGCGCTGAGACCCACCTGAAAATGCTGGGGCAGAGGAAATACGCACCGGTTCCCTGGCACAAACAGGTCTCAAAGCAGCACCAGATGCCAGAGAGTTACTTATTTTGCACTGCAAAAATAAAAATATAGAAAAAATGAAATTAAAAAAGCTGCCAAGGCGATAAGGGGATGGCCTGGGGCCACGCTGCACACTTGCAAAGGTAAAAAAAAAAAGAAACATATTAAGTAAAATTAGTAATAAAATTAGGTTTTAAAAAAGCTCAAAACCACCTCCTACATTTTTAATTGAAAATGTAAATTAACATTTTGGAAGTGCCGGTTAAAAAAAAAAGAAGAAAGTGTAGGATGTTTTGGGAATGGGCCTGAGGAGTGGGCAAAGACTGGGACACTGCTTCACCAAACCAGTGTCACCAGCACATCTGGAATTGAGCGTTCCGGTGTTGTTTCACCTTTAAAAAAAAATAAAAGAAAGAAAAAAGGGGAAAGGAGGGAAAAAGGGAAAACAAAAAAGAGGAGAAACAGGCATGTGGTGACTGGGAACATGAGGGCAGATAAACTTAAAATAAGGATCAATAAGGATTAAGAGACTTGATGAAGGTTTAATACAGAAATGAATTGTCCGGGGGATGGAGAAGGCTCCATTTTGTCCTGTAGTTTACACCCAAAAAGGGGCTTAAAATCAAATTAAATGAGGATTTTTAATTGCCGGAAGGAAACAGGGCTTCCAGCCAGAGTGTAGCCACCACAGCGGCAGCGCGGTGAGATCCTGGGCGGATTTGGAAGGTTAATATCCATTAAAACGCCTTAAAACGCCCTAAAACGCCCCAAAACCGCCGCGCGGCG